TCCTCCATGATTGAGGGGAGCCCAGCTGAAGCTCCGTTGCCCAGAGGAGCAAACGCCAGGGCCAGCCCAACTCTGCTCCGAGGCTGTTTGTGGGCACTTATTCCACCATCCTGGGTTCTGCGGCTCTTGCAAACTTGTGCCCTGGGGCAGAGGCGGAGCAGCCTGCCTTCTCTCCCCACTCCAGGGAGAGGGTGCCGTGGGGGTGCAATAGACCACGCATACGGCCCTTGACGGGGGAGTTGGGGCTGCCCTGTCTAGAGGCTCTGAGCCCAAGCCTGGCACAGAAAGGCAGGGGCGCTGAGTGCCATAATAGGCCACGGTGGTCCTGGCGGAGCCAGAAGAGGCCCACACCACATGAGTGCCAAAGGCAGCTGCCCTCAGCAGGCTCGGTGGTGCAAGGCCTACCCAGCCCTTCCCTGAAGGGGACAGATCCCCAGGCCTTGGAAGACACGGGAACCTCTTTGCAGGAAGACTGTAGACGCCTCCCTGAAAGCATTCGGCCCCTCCATCTTTGGGAGCAAATGCTCAGGTCCCCCCCAGGGCCATCGGGAGCATTTTGTGGGTGTGCCTTGGCTGCCAGAGCACAGCTGCCGTGCCCATTGGGGTAGCAGGCCATTGCCTCTCCAGAGCTATCTTGCCTGCACCCCCCCCCCAAATCATCATGCCCATCAGAAATCCACAGATCTTGTCGCAGGTCATTTGCCCTGGTCCCCCGCCAGTCCTCAAAGGGGGAAGGGTGCCACTGGCCAGATCTTGCCCCCAAGCAGCTCTTCACCTTCTTGCCCCGGGAGCTGCATCAGAGCGCAAGGGCTGTCAGCCCCTTCGTTTGCCTCCTGGGTGCCCCTCCCTGATTCTGCTTTGGGTTCTCGATGTTTTTCAGCCCCCATCCCAGCACTGTATGCCTTCCTGGCTCATCAGGCCTGGAATTGGGGGGGGGGGGCTCAGGGTCTGCTGAGCTGTTCCCTTCTTTCTACCCCTGGCTCCCCCCATCTGAAGGTAATGCTCCTGGAATCTTCCCTCCCCAGTACAGATGTGCACACTCACATGTGTGCAGCTCCGGCTTCTGCAATTAGTCCCTCATAATGTACAGCCATCAGCTGACCGCACAACTTGCTCCAGCACTCTTTGCAAAGCGAAGGAGCTCCCTGTTTGGGGGAGGGCCACAGTGGGATTTTAAAGTCTTGCAAGCGTTCCAGGCGGATTTTGCGCTCCGGCAAGGCCCTGAGCAGCGCAGAAGCTCTAGGTCCAAGCTGAGCCCAGCTGCTTGTCTGGTGGGCTCCCAGTGGTCAAGGAGGGTTTGCACAGAGGGACGCCGAGGCCCTTTTATCCAGTTTGTGGGGCAGTGGGGGAAACCTCAAGACTCCAAAGTAAAACAGCCTTTTTCCTCCATACTTAAAAACTTCTTTATTTCCAAAGGCCAGAGAGTGGGCACAGAATGAAGAATGGTTCCTCTGGCCAGCCCAGGACAATGGGGGTCTGTGCAAGGGGGGCCCTGCATCCACCAAATACCCCCAGTGGCAGCTGGTGGGGCCAGGCCTGTGCAAAATGCAGCAGCAGCAGCAAAAGAGGGAGGGAGCCCCCGGCCTTGCAGGGGAAGGCTGGGGGGAGGATGAACGCAGGCACTCGACTCAGCTGGGGGGCGAGGTTACAAGTCCAAGGGCCACGGGGGTCCCACAGCATGAGGCTATGGCTACTTTCAGATGCTCATAGAAGTTAATCCGTTCCTTTCCGTCATTCCGGGCAAGGGTTTTGGGGTTGTCGCCCTTGTGCCATACGTATACCCCAAAGCACAGGGCCAGAACTACCCCCCTCCCTCCCCCCCCCAGCTCATCTTTGGTATACATGAGGCACAGGAACAGCATCGTCGGAGTCTTCTGCGGGGAAGGGGCAGAAGCGCCTCCCCAAAGCACTTAGCATCTGCATACGGCCTGGGACCCGCAGGGTGGGGGGCGGCAGATGGAAATGGCAAATGGAAACAGAAAAAAGACAGTTCCAGCCCAGGAGGGGGACGGAGAAGAGGCGATCTGGTGCCAAACTACCACGGAGCTCCCAGAAGGTCAGAGGTCTAGAAGAAGAAGAACCAAAGGTGAGTGGGCTCAGATGGAGACCCTCCCACCCAGGAAGATTGGAATTACCGGCACGGACCCCTGGAGACCCTCCCCCAATTGTGGAAATGCGGAGGTGGACAAGACCCGGGGGGGGCCAGGCAGAGCGAGCCGGGCCCTGGAGAGGCACCCCCACCGAAACGCACGCCGCTCCTGAGAGCAAAGGATGGCTGGCCGGTGGAGAAAAGTGGAAACCCCATGGGGTCTCCTCTCATCCTTTCTCTCCCCCCACCTTGGTGCCCCAATAATATAAATCGGGACACATCCAGAGCACTCCATCAAGCGCCCACAATTGGCCGGTTGCGGCTGCATAAGGAAACGAAAAGAGGGCCTGGCCCCCACCTGCCCCACAGAAGCAGCTCCGCCCCCTCTGAAAGCACAGGGGCCACAGGAAAACACTGGAAGCGTGCCCTTGGGCGGCGTCCGTTTCAGGTGCCTGTTGCTGGCCACAGACTTCCCCGCCTGGCCCGACTCAGAACAGCCAGAAGGGCAGTCTTGGAACTGGTTTTTCCCTAAAAGCGAAAACAGGCTGTCCAGAATTCCTGAGAACCGAGTAAACCTGCCAAAGTGACGTGGGGAGGAGGAGACCCAGCCCCAGCTTCGCCCACCAACAGTCCCCTTGGCAAAAAAACCAGCAGTCCCCAAGGTGGCCAGGCGAGCTGAGACCCCTGGGGGAAAACGCCCTGCCGTGGGGGCTCAGCAAAAGAGAAGAGGTCTTGCTGCAGCTCAGCCCCCAATTTGGAAGCAGGTCGCAGGCTGCAAGGGGAGGAAGAGCACCTGGCTGGGAGGGGCATGCCAGAGGCTTGCCAACGGAGGCCTGGGCGCAAGGAGGAACGAGAGCCACCATGCCCATGCTCCTCCTTTCCAGCCAGAGGCTGAGCGGAGAGCAAGCAGCTGGGTCTCCTCAACTGCTGACCTGTGGGGGGGGCTCAGTGCCCAAAGCCCAGGGCAGCACGGAGGGTATTCAGTGAACGCAGCCTGCTGTCCACAAGGCCCAGCAATGTGCCACCGCTCAGCCATGGCAGCCCAAGCCAGCTCCGCGGGCTCCCTTACCTGGAGGCCCTTTGGGGCTTGCCTCCAACCCCTGGAGCTCCCCCAGGCGGTGGAAGTCAATGCTGGCATAGGCGTGGGGGGCTCCCGGCTGGCAGGGGCTGGCAGATGGGCGCAAAGCGAGGGCGAGGTCCGGAGCAGCCTCCCTGGCCAGGTCGAGGGCAATGTAGTTCAGGCCGCTCTCCCTCAGGGCCTCGTCTGGCGGGACAGCATTCCTTTCAGCCTCGCAGCGGCAGCTCGCTTTTTCTTGCGGGCCAGCTTGGGGGCCAGGCCCCGGCTCCACCAAGCTATCAGGTGCTGCCGCCTGGCTGGAGTCCACTGGCATTGCTTGGAGCGCCACGTTGACATAGTCAGCTCCAGAGTGGTACGCAACGGTGGTGGAGCTCCCAGGCAGGTCGGCAAACAGGCTGAGGGGATAGCGAGAGGCGGCCGTGGCGTCTTCCAGGCTCTCCGAGCTGGTGGACGAGGAGCAGGAGAGGCGCCGGGGGCCAGCGGTGCGCCAGGGGGGCGTGGGGCCGTGCTTGTAGGAGTGTGGCAGGGAGAAGAATGGAGCGTGGCCCGGGAGGGGCAGCAACAGGCCATACTCGGGTGGGACGTCAGGGGCAACCTGTCCGGCTGGGGACATGTTCACGTACTCGCCCGCCAGAGACTTGCTCTCCCTGCCCCCTGCAGCCCACTGGCCCATCCCATCCAGCGAACAGCTCCTGCTGGGGGACATCAGCATGTAGCCCCCACTTTCCCGGGGGGGAGAGACACTGCCGGGGGTCATTGGGACGTAGTCTTGGTCCTCGGCACCTGTGGCCACGCCCGGCAGCATCGCCATGTACCCGGGGTCAGTGCCGTGAAGGTTGAGCCCTTCTGGGTAGCTTGCTGAAACCGTGGGGGGCTTGGCCCCCTGCCTCCGACACAGCAGACCAGGGGGGCCTTTGCTCAGGACCAGTGGGGGCAGAGATGCCCGCTTGCTGGCCACGCCTCCCGACGGCCACTTGAGCAGGCAGGGCCCATCAGGGGAGGCCTGCTGGCCCATGCTGATGTAGTCCAGCTCCCCGTCCACCACCATGGAGCTCAGGGGGTCGGGTGTGCCGGGAGGCCGCAGCTCCCCCGGGCTGGAGCCACCTTCGTCAGATGACACGGCGCTGTAGTCGCTCAAGGAGTCTGGCTTCCGGGCTCCTGGCTCCTGCCCCGAGGCTGTGGGGCGCCGGCCCAAAGAGGGCGTCCCCTCAGGGCGACTCCTCCACGGGAAGGCCCCTTGGCCAGGGGACGGGTTGCTCCGGTGCTGCTGGTGCAGGGGCACCGAGATGGGCGTGGAAGCCAGCGTCTGGCTGCGGCTGCGGCCCCGGAACTCCTCGCTGAGGGCCTTCATGGCCTCCAGGATGGTCTCGTGCATGTTCTGGGCCACCACCAGGTCCTCCACCTGCATCCAGAGCTCCCCGGGCCCCGTGGTGGCCGAGCGGCCCACCTCCATAAAAAAGTAGTTCTCCGAGTGGCCGCAGCGGCGGATGCTGAGCAGCTGAAGGACCACGGCTGCCTCGTCCGAGTTCAGCTTCACGAGGTTGACCGTCTTCTCAGTCAGGCACAGGAGGTAGACCCCGGCCAGGTTCCTGGTGTGCCC